TTCCCAATCACGTAAGGCGTCCATCTCGAACATACCAAGACCACTGATATCACCTGTCAAATCTTTCTCATCAAATGACATTTTTGCAAGAGCTCTGCTAGCATCTTTTCCGGCGAACAGTGCATAGGGACCACCTGGTCCGTAAAACATTCTGAACAGAACACAACAAATGAAAAAGGTCACCACAAAAAGGCAAAGCAGTAAATCTCACCCACTATCCATGGTCCAACAAAAACACTAAAGGGACTTTATATCAAAACTTTACACATAAAGGCGAAACCCCATCGATTTCATCAAGATTATATCCCTCTCCATGAGGTAAAGCATCACCGAAGAACAGAAAACCCCAAATTGCAAAATTTTGGAAACACTAAATTAGTATCCGTCTAAGCTAATATATCATAACTTCAGTTCATATATCGATTACAGAACTTTAATTTATGTAACTAGCTTTAAATTATAAGAGAAATAGAGCGATTTACGAGGATGTACCTGCTTTGTGAGACATCGTAGATCTGACCTTTTATGGCCATAAGCAGAGGTTTCTTAGGATCGTTGCCGTCGTAAGCCTTCAACTCCTCTTCGGTTACCTCTCCGAGCTGAACCGGCGGCGGGAGAGGTTCCGACTCCTCGAAAGAACTAGACCTTGGCTGTACATGATGATCGGAGGAGCCACCGAACATAACGGAGAAAACATAGTAGATGGCAAGTCCTAAAGCAACTACAGTGAAGAAAGTTGTTGGAGAGAGTCCGGTATATGCGGTTATGGATTCTTTCAGAGTCTCCAGAAGTTCCACGGCCATGGCGGAATGATGATCGAGGTGTGGGAGTGAGAAAAGTTATGTGAACGGAAATGTTGCTCGCCCTAAATTATATGGCCAAAATATTCATTAAGATTCCATGTTAACATTAATATATTTTTTATTTAATAAAAAAAACATGGAATGTAAATTATGATAAAAGTATTTTTTATATATATTGGTATTATTTAATAACAATATCTTATAGAAAACGTGAAGTTTCATATTTAATTATGTTGCATGTTTTAAATTTTTATTAACATGACATTCTTTTTTGAAAAAAGAAAATGTACATTTCGATTTTATTAAGCTAAATAGTCAAGTCTACTAACATTACCATGAGTTGTCATATTTAAAATTGTCATTACAAATGCTTAGTTTATTTGAAAAAAGTTTTTAAAAGATAATAAACTATTGTTGTGACCATTAGAAATATGAGAACACACAAGTATAGTATCGCATTAATATTTGAAATATATATTTCTTGTTCTGAAGATATAACGTCCCTTCTTATTTTCTCTGATATTACATTTGCATCAAATCTCAAAATAAAAAATTTACATTAATATTAATAGTCAATTAGATGGTATACAAAAATAATATATAATTGGTCAAAGAAGGGCAGCAGTTGTCCGATTTTGACAAACCTCCATAGCCTTTGAAGTTTGAAGCATGTATCGCATTAGTCTCAGCACACCATGTAGGGTTTAGGCATCTCCTACACAACAGAACAAAAATCTTATTGTTGCATTATTTTTGTATCATTTAACTTCAATCCAACAATATTTGGTATGACAAACAAATAGAAAAATCAAAAATAAAATTTCACATTCAAAACTAATCGGACATCATTGACTCATTGTAACTACCTACTCTACATTTGTCATGGCACCGATTGGTGGGGAACCAAAGCTATTTATGTCATTAATCTTATTAATTGATGTATTGATAGAATGTTTTGTCCGGATTAATGAAGTAATCTTTTTTTAAGAAAATGATACACCTGGACAAATAAAAAAAATAAATAAAAGTACATTAAACTTTAATATTTTTTGAAACTGCCAATTATAAAGCACCACGACTAGCAAGTAGCCAAAACATGGCAAAACAAACAATGTACATATTACAGATCCACACGTTTGGGGTTTTTTTACAATGTAATCAGTTGGCTTCTTCACAATATTTTGTATCGCATAAATCACCTCCCTCCACATTTAATTACTTCGGATCTAAGTCACTACCACCATTTTGTAATTAGAGCTAGTTTTTAAGCTTTTAACGAACCAACTCCAAGGGCTCCATTACTCTTTGAGGCAATAACTTTCGGCCATGCAATCCAATATATTTTAGACTTTCCATCCCCTCCACCCCAAAAGAATTTCGCCTTATTGCAATGTAATCAATTGATCCACACACTTGGGGCTTTTTTTGCAATGTAATCAGGCGGTTTCTTCACAATATTAAGATGTATAGAAACACAAAAAAAATGGAACTAGATACCCTAACGGAGCAAAAAAAAAAAAAAAAAAAAAAAAAAAAAAAAAAAAAAAAGACTCATGAAATGAAGTGTTATCATATTCACTACCATTATCACATTTGAGGAAATTGACGGTACGTCTTAATTGATTGATTTTAATTTCTGTGGAAAAATGAAGTAATTTGATAAAAACGTCAATTTTTTGTTTAAAGGGGTAGTCCCAAAGAAAATGTGAATTGTCAAACATTACAATAAATAAACTCATCAAATTCAAAATTTTATTTATTACGAGGAGTGAATTGTCTAGAATGATGCGACATCCGTTACCATCATAAATAAAACGAGAGTCATGATTACTAGAAAAGGAACATGCGTACACTTGTAGTTCCATGTACATGGTTTGTGGCTTGTGGTCCATAATCCAACCTTGGTCATTCAACGATAAAAAAAAAAAAAAAACTATGGCAGCGAGGTGGCTTGTCGTTTGAATTGAGCCTAACAAACTCACATGAACCTTTTTAAATAGTCATTTAAAAAATCATGTGATTTTCCTTGTCCTTGTTTAAAAAAATCACTCTAGAAAGTTTGTCGAGTTCGATTCAATCTCTCCGATCTTGTCGTTTGTAACAAAGGCATCTAAAATTTAAGACAACAATACATCTATAAAACAGTAATAACCCTAAGTACTTAGGATATGAGACTTATGAATGAAAAGAAAACTGCACGAAACTTGTCCTAAAAAGCACCAAATATTACCAGGGCAGCAGCAGCTGAACATCTCAGCCAAACCCCTTGTTTGGTATGGTGCAACCTAACCATAAATGTATCCAATTATGTTTCTCCATATATATACAAAAAGCTAATCAAAATCACCCACCAACATCTTAAATCCATGATCAAAAACCTCAAACCGCAAGACTTGTTACCTCATCTTCCTTCCACAGCCCTTCTTCATACTTGTACCACCTCACAAGCCCTTCATCAAGCTTCATTCTGTGACACATGATACACGATTCATCATCCATGCATGTCAAGAACTGTCGCAACCTTGAAGCCTTCTTGAAAATCGAATCATCGAGCTCAGTCACCACTTTTCGAGTTGCAGGTGGTGGAGGGGCATCTATGATGAGAGAATGAGATATGTTGAGCACTTCAAGGTTCTTTAACCCGTTTAGGATCAATAAAAGGGCGTCCTTGTACACAATGGAGACACGAAGGCTTAGCACTTTTAGGTTAGGGACACAACGGATGAGTGTCTGCACGCATAACATGTCACATGGCCCCATGATTTTGAGTTCTGAAAACTTCTTGCAGTGCTTTGAGATTTCCTCCATGAAATAAGGTGGATTCGCTATGCTTGGCATTGTGAGGGATTCGAGATTATTCCACTTGCTAATAGCCTTGCATATACCCGTCCTTTTTATACGGTTCCATGCAGGTAACACCAAGCGCTTCAGATTTGGCGTCCTGCATAAACAATACAATGAGTGACATGATAGAACAGGTTGAACTGTGTTTGACATGCATTGGACTGGGACTGAGACCGATGTCAATGGAACACAGATTTCAATCTTTTGTCCCACCCAAAAAGGTGGAACAGGGTGGGAATGGAACAAAGACTGAAATCTTTGTTCCATTCAGTTCAATGTATGTCGAACACAGGACAGCCTGTGGGCCCTGATGGTTGAGATGATACCTTTCAGCGGTGTACGTCAACTGATCATCGCTCACGTAGAGATTGAAATGGAAGATCAAAGTTGTAATGCTTCCACGGCTAAGATTCAGAGCGATCTTCAAAAGCCGTGTGAGTTGTTTATCGGATCTTCCATCGACATAAACATAAGGCTCGAGGGGAATCTTTATGAAGTTGGATCTCAACATTGACAAATCAAGAGTTTTCCATAACAGGGGATCACAAGCAGCTAAACGCCATGTGCTGCAGATATGACCGATACCAGAAGTCAACTCAAAAACATCAAACCTTTGAAATATCTTCACTAGAATGTCAATATCTAACTCCTCCCACTTTGTTGTTTCATCATGTTCCATTCTTGAGTTCTCACAGAAATAATCCAGTCTTGCAACAATCAACGGACCGAACTGATGCAAAAAGTTGGGTTATTTAGTTATGTGAGATTGCAAATAAAAAAGGGCTGAATGCAAGAAATAGCAATGTACATTTATTTGTTCCTATTACAACATAGTACATATAATTCATCACATAAATATATTGAGTAAGACAAGAAAATAAAACATTTTTAGGCTTGGGCGAACATATAATTCATCTAGTAAAGGAAATCAACATTTATATGTCAACTATGGTAATTGTTTTTGCCACAATCTTTACACAAAAACCAAAACTGAGGACATGAATTTTCCAACTAGGCTTTTCCTGAAACATATTAGGGAACTACCCTTTTATCAAACACTACGAGCATTTTTAGAACAAAATGGAAGTTATTGTGAGCTTCAGTCTCAATGTAAATTGGAATTCAGCAAAATCCGTGTCGTAATTATAGCCAATTTTGGGATTTGTAAAATACTAGTGCAAGATCGGCGTCAGAAAACACAGGGCAATCAAATTTAACTGCGGTCTTCCTAAATTTTCTAAATTCGACTTTGATCGACCAACAGATGGAGAAATTAATCATTATTACACTGAGAGGAGCCGAAAGCCCCAACATTTTTATACAGATTGCTACAGCTAACCACTTGATTCTTACTTAAACTTAATCGATCGAAGAGTAAGACATAATTAGCTTAAAATGGAGCAATTGGCATCAAATCCAAACCCCTAATCTACAGAAATATAAGACCCCATCCTCGTAATTAGAGCCAATTTGGGGGTTTGTGAAATTCTAGTGCAAGATCGGCCTCAAATAACACAAGGCACTCAAATTTAACTGCGTTATTTCCAGTATTTGAAAATTGGAATTCGATCGACGAAAAGATGGAGAAATAAATCGTTATTTCACTGACAGGAGTAGAAAGCCCCAACCTGTTAATCAGATTGCAACGGGTAACTACTGGAATTCTTACTTTTACTGTATCGATCGAAGATTAAGCAGAATTAGCTTGGAATGGAAAAATTCGCATGCAATTCATAAACAAATTCACAAAACTTAACATTCAAACTTATGTTAGACATTTGATTATTGAGGTTAACATCCGAAAATCGAGACGCATACCAGAAATACCCGATTCCTGACAAGATCGCACAAATCAGTCTCGATGCGATTGAAAAGAAAGAGAAAAATGATGACAAGTGGAACTATCAGATACACAGTAAGACATGCGAAACACGTAGGGGGGAAAGAGAGCGAGAGAGGAGGGACATACCTAGAAGCTCGTCTGCTTCCTATTCTGGAACGGGCCCTTTTCATTTAGTCGTAGGATTCGACCTTTTTCTATTGAAAAAGATCGGAAATTACGGTAATTGATGCCACGTTAAAGCTGGAACCCCTGGATCTGGTGTCCAAACGACATGGGCTTCCCTCCGGTAAAATCTAAGTTCGATCCTTACCAACAAGCCAAGGCTGTCTATTTTTCTTAAAACGTCATATAGTAAAATAACGCAAGATTTCCTTTTCCATTCTTTATTTATTTAATATAAAATAAAATACCAAAGTTATCAAAATCGGATATATTATCAAATTATGTGTGAGACCGGTTGATTAAAAACAGTTGAATACTCATTTGTATTACAAACAGTAAATATTATATATATGTTTTCTAGTTTTGTTGCATTTAATTATTTTGATTAATTTAAAAAATGTAGAGTAATCAACAAAAGAATAAGAAAGAAATTATTAAAAATACAAGCATAATAGTAAATAAAATAATTTTTTTTAATATTTACTTACAAAACTTTTAATAAGAGTTGGAATTGAAAAAATCATTAAATTAATTATAACCCGTTAATGAGTAAGATGCAAGAAATAACATAGTATTTTAATTTGGTTTGTATCTATATAGAAGCGATCATTTAGTTCCATTACTATTTTATCAAAAGTTTAAAAATTCATATAGAATGTAATTTATGAGTCATCTTTTTTAAGAAATTTTAATAAACTTATTTAAAAAAATAAAGTCTAAATCAATTTAATTTAGATTATATAAAATGGTAGCTTGACTTGGTGTATAACCACACAAACATCAATTGAGCCATTTTCCTCCTCTATACATGTTCTTTAGGAACCTAACCAAAAAAAAAATCATACTTTTTATTATAAAAAGTACATTGCTAAACTTAAAAAAATGAAAGTAAGTATTACATGTTTTAAATATATTTAACTATGGAAACTCACTATTTAAATAAATTTAAAAAATAAAATGTATATAAAAATATTGTATAAATAGCCCATGTTTAACAAAATGGACATTAATGGTCCATGTATAAAAAATGATCAAATTGACCAAAATGGTCAAAATGACCGGATTAAGCAAAATGATCAAAATGACTATTTTCAGCAAAAATGACCATATTACGAAAAATTAAAAATAAAAAAATAAAATAAAAACCAGGTAAAATGACCAAATTGGACAAAAATGTCAAAATTGTCATCTTGACTAAAAATATCAAAAAAAATCAAACTTTTTATTTTAAAAGTTTCGTGTGTGTGTGTGTGTGTGTGTGTATATATATATGTGTGTGTGTGTGTGTGTGTGTGTGAGAATGTGTGTGTGTTTGTAAGAATGAGAAAATGACCAAAAATATCAAAATGATCACTAAAAAAGAAGGATGAACATGCTAACATTAGAAAATTCTATTTCTTACAAATTAATATAAGAAATTTAAGAAAACTAATCCATGAATGCAAATTCATACACAAAACAACCACAGTTTGCATACATATCATCTATCAAACTTTTATTTCAAATTGTTTCTTTTTAAATCGTGAAAGAAAACCCTAAAATCTTACAAGTATGAATAAATAACTTATCTCCTATGACCAAATTAAGTTTAATTTGGAAAGTTAAACTGGATTTGGAGATTGAATGTTGATATCGATTTTGGTTGATGACCTAATTTCGAAACCAAAGATTTGATTGATTTTGAAAGTCAGGTGTCGATGAAATGTGGTTAATAGCGAAGGAAGAAATTAGGTTGCAATTAGGTTTGTTGGTTAGTGTTTTGATTGGATTTTGTGGATAAGTAGATGGTTTACATTCAAAGTGTTGATTATTTGATTTCGAATGGTTAATTTGGGGTCAAGCGCCGATGTCAAGAATCGATTGGAAATTTAATTCCACTAAAAGCAAATCTGGATATTGAGATATCAACTGGGATGATTTGGGGTCGAACAATTTTTTTACAACGTATTAAAGTGAAGATCATGATTACCTTTGATTTGCTTAATATCGGCAAATATTTGGATTTCAAAAGTTTGGAGACTGGATTAGTTATTGGGATGTGATAAGGATGATTTTAATGTCGATTTTGGAAGCCAATGTTTGAAGCTTTGGTTTACAGTCGATCTTGGAACTCAATTTGGGAATTTCGATTTTGGGTTGATCAATTGGATCGTATGGTTACAGTCAAAGGTTTGTAGATGTACAAATATCGACTGGATAAGAAGATTAGCTGGAAAAGCGAAGCACTGTTATTTGATGATCGATGGTGTGTCTAAGTCAATGTCAAGGTTAAACGGTCGATGAAGGCTTTGGATCGTCGATATCAAGTAGTTGTTATTGAAAAACGAAGTATTGATTTTGATGTTGATATGAGAAGGAACGAAATCAATTAACTGAGAAGTTATGATTCAGCGATTGAATGGTCCATAACACATTAAGTGATTCGATATGCTTCGTTTTTGTTAAAATCCAAAAGTTTCGTTAAAATTGTGTTGTGGATTTCGTGATTCAAACTAACGAATGGGATGGAAGAAAAAAAATTGTTGTCTTGTTAACAAATTTTTTGTATTGATGAAAAGCGAAGTGCAATTTTTCGTTACAGATTCAAGAAATTGGGAAGAAGATAAAATAAGTTTCGAAAATGGCCCTTGCAGTTTCGAATATTTATCACTTTACATTCATTTTCGAAATAAGGTTTTAATTTCGAAGATTGAAGTATTGGGAAGAAGTTTCGAAATTAGATCCTGTAGTTTCGAAATTTGGGCAATATATGGGCAGTTTTGAAAATTTGAAGCAAGTGACAAAAATTTCGAATGTTGGACATAAACTTTCAAATGTTTGGCGGTCTTTAACCAACTTCGACATTTGGGTTAATTTTCGACATTTTGAGACAAAAAGGAGAAACTTTGAAACCAGTCATTGAAATTTCGAAAGTTTGACAATTTTTGCCCAATTTCGACATTGGATTGATTTTGCTAAGAAATTGAAGAATATGCATTTCAGGCCCGTACAGTTTATGCGAATTGACACTTTCTACCCGGCTTCGGAAAAGGTTGAGAGTTTCACATTTTTGGCTGTTTTGGGTGCACCAGGTCACTACAGGAATTTGAAATTGATAATTTTTACCCATTTTTGAGAAATTTTGCCAAATGCCGTCCGTGAACGAAGCTAAAAATTGAAGATTTTTTCGGTTTTTCATATTAAAGCAAAACAGTTTATACCATATGTTAAGGGGGAGTTTTGACACGAAAAATTATGAACAGAGAACGTTCTCTTTCCCTGATGGTTTTATAATCAGATTTCGATTATAAAAAGGGGAGAAATTTATTTGGAAATTCGAAGTTGAATTTTTCATATTACGTGAACTTGAAGATCGAAGTGACCTTGAATTTTTGATGTTTATGAAATGATGCGATTGGAGATTCGGAAGTGATTTCGGTTTGAGATGGGTTTGGAATTATTGAAGATTCTTGGGATGTGTTTTTATGCTCAACTTTAGGGTGATTATTTGGAGTTTGAAAAGCTCTTGATCATTCGTTGATGCTCGGTTTGTATGGTCTCACATCCTAAAACCCAAATTGAAGAATCATTGAAGAGTTAAAGATTTGAAGTTCATCTCAACATGTGTCACGCTTGAGGCTCGGATCGCATGGTTGCTCGATTTTGGAAGATTTGAAGTGGGTCATCCATTCCTAACTTTGAGTGGGAGAATGTTGGGTGCAAAGTTATCCATGTATGACTTTATAAATGGGTTGACTTTTGTAGACCCACTTGCATGTGGTGCACTATCCTTATGACATGAGATAGAGAGTGAGAGTGAGAGAGACATGTAAACACCTCTATATAAGGTGGGTTCATACCACTTATGGAGGTGCGCTTAGGAGATGTAACATTGAGTGTGAGTGTGTGTGTGTGTGTGTGTTATTTATGTAGATTTAGATCTAGATCCCTTTTTGTGTAACACCATACATAATTGAATACATCTCTTAAACACCGAAATCAGCGTGTACATTGTGTGTTCTTTAATTCTGCATGCCAAACCAATGTTCATAATTCACTACAAAAATGGTTAAAGAAAATACCAAAATTATGAAAAATTTATGTTATTTATCAATCTGTTCTCATATTATAAAAATGCAAAAAAACTTGAGATGGTAAATATTAACCTTACTAATAGAAGCATCGGGTTTGGTCTTTTGGTCTTATTCTCCCATATTACTATCAATGAATATTTAAATCTATAGAAGCTCATTCTTAGGCACCCAAGAAGATGAAGCATGAAAGCGAACACATTCTTATAACAAATATTATAAAAATGAATTCTTGATACTTTCAACCAAAAGAAAACAGAACCAATAAAAAAACCATCTCTTTTTGAATTAAAATAGGGTTTGAACCAAACTCATTACATTTGGCAATAAATTTCTCTATTTTTTACATTGTGTTCATAAAATCATTCATCAAGAAAACTACATAATGATCAGGTAAAACAAGAAAGCCATGCTATTATAGTTTTGGGCCTTGTGTACTTTTCCCCACCCTATTATGTCTCCAAATTACTTATAGCCATGCACATAAGTTGTTATGTCCAGAAACTTGGTATTTCTAAAGTCAAAAATCAAAATTTTCGGTTCGGTTTTGGTTGTAGTAAAAAACTGAATCCAATAAGTGCATGTTTGGGTAAATGATCTCTAAGTAGTAAAGAGTAAATGAACTTTTTGACCTAAAATCACATAAAAGGAAATTAAAAGTCATTTCCTCAATTTGATATTTGGACTAAAAATTATTGTTGAAAGTACCTTTCTATTTAGAAGTGATGTCAACTAACGAATAACCATTTATTTTAGAACTGTTCAAAAAAGGAAAAGAGCTGAAAATTCCTTTAAGACTTAAAATACAGCCCAATCCTTCACTACATTTGGTCTAGTTGACATATAATACCAACCAAAGATAAGTTCAAGCTATCACCTATCACACAGACAACCAACATGATAATATTAGCATAATCACTTTCCTTACCATATAACATTATACTTTCGTTTTACTATAACATAAAGAAACTAAATGAGTGTGAAAACCCATGGTTTGCTCAAAAATAGACCAAATGGTACAGTCAAAATCTTAACATGCTGATATAGATACAATATCCAAGATATCAACTTTAATAACTACTCGCCTCTACTTTTTTTTATGAAATAGTTGATCTTTCTTTTCTTCCCGGATAAGTAAGCT